TGACCTATTCTCCCTTAAAGGAGAAGATTATATAATTATCATTGACTAATATTCAGAGTTTACAAAAGTAATGTAGCTGAGAGATCAAACCATTTGTACTTTTGTAAATAAGCTGAAAGCTGTTTTTGCTAGACATGGAATCTCTGACATTTTGGTTTTCAATAATACCTCACAGCTGTCATCAGCAGAATTCAAAAGGTTTGCCAAAATATGGACTTTCAACATATAACACCCAGCCTGTGATTTTCACAATCAAATGGACAAGTAGAAAGTGCTGTGAAAGCTGTAAAAACACTAATAATAAAAAAAATGCAGAGTGAAAGTGAAAGATTCTTACTTAGCTTTGCTAGAACTAAGAAATACATCAATAGACAAAGTTGGAAAATCACTTGCACAGCTTCTAATGAACTGTCATCTAAGAACATTATTACTCATATTGCGTTGTTTATTACTCACATTGCATTGTTTACTATATCAGAAAATCCATCTGTAGTTTGGGAAAAAAAAATATACTGAATGTCAAAAACAGCAGCAGAAATATTTCAGTCAGGATACAAGAGAGCTTGTATCATTGAAACCAAGAAGATCTTGTACAAGTATAATTAAATGATAAAACTTGAGCACCAGCAATTATTACTAATAAATGTGATAAACCAAGATCATACATTGTCACAACTGCATCAGGAAAAATATATAGATGAAATAGACAAAACATCCACCCATCAAGAGAAAATGACAACCAAAGATCAGCATTCATATCTTTGAGCGGGGGTGAATTAGATATATTTATAAGTGAATAGTGCTCATCATCAGAAATAGGGTTTAATAGATATTGATAGTATTGGTATAGGAATCAACACTGCATAGTGACTATCAGTTTCCTCTTTTTGCATGTTTATCAGACCAAGTCTGAATGATAATTCTTATGACCACACACAAATATATATATATATATATATATTATATATATATATATATATATAATATGTATTTTATATATATATATATATATATAATGTGTATTTATATATATATATATATATAATGTATATTTTATATATATATATATATATATATATATATATATATATATATATATATATATATATATATAATGTGTATTTTATATATATATATATATATATATAATGTGTATTTTATATATATATATATATATATAATGTGTATATATATATATATATATATAATGTATTTTATATATATATATATATATATAATGTGTATATATATATATATATATGTATATATAATGTGTATTATATATATATATATATATATAATGTGTATTATATATATATATATATATAATGTACATATATATATATATATATATATGTGTATATATATATATACATATATATATATTTATATATATATATATATATATATATATATATATATATATATAATGTGTATTATATATATATATATATATGTATTATATATATATATATATATATATATATATATATATATATATATATTTATATATATATATATATATATATATATATATATATATATATATATATATATATATATATATATAATATATATATATATATATATATATATAATGTATTATATATATATATATATATATATACGTATATATATATATAATGTGTATTTTATATCACGATAGCCGGGACGCAACGAAAAATAAAAAAAAATAAGTAAGAGATCCCAAGGTTCAATATAAAAAAAAAAGAAAAAGAACGTTGGGGGAATTCTCCAATTCCGACGTCGGTAAACGCAGAGAGAAAATGAACAATTCGCAGACACAGAACAACAGAAGACAACACGAGACTATACAATACAAAGATTTTATTTCTAGAATACATGGAGTGTGACTATAAGGAAAAGAAAAAGAAAACTAAATAATACAAGGGATGGGGAGATAAATTACCAATTATTAAACAGATACTAATGCGGCGAAATTCATACGAATACAGAAATAGCAGATTTCAAGATAGGGAAAAACATGCAGAAACTTACATAAGTTTAGAATCGACGTCGATTGACAATTATCGGGGTACAATTTGTTCAAAGAATATTTATACACTTCTTTGATGGGATTGACAATGTTGATCTACAATCTCGCGTCGGTCCTTTGGTTTTTGGTGGCATCTAATTCTTTTAATGGCGAATAGCTAAGACGGGTTTTTGGTGATGTCCGACTCCTCTGATAGCCAGCAGCTGTGTGTCGTTGTTGTTACCTTAACACGTCCGAAACGAAAACTGCTATATTTTGAGTCACGTGTTGGCCCCAAAAAAAGGTATCGTCATTCACGGACCCTGTTAATATCATCCACAGTTATCTGTCAAACAGCGTTTGTTTTGACCAGCGACTATGGAACTGGTTAACATCATTCACACCTATCTGTCAAACAGCGGACCAGGTAGGAGATGGGGGTAGAAGGGAAGGTTCTTCTCCGAGAACTGGCCCTGACTCATCTGGTTATAAAAACAATATATATCTCACAATCTATGTATTTAAGAAATAAAAAATTAAAATTCATATGTTTCGTCGGTCATACAAAAAGGTACTGAAAATGTACTTATAAAATCTGAGGTGAGGGTACAAATATGGGGTTAACGTAACAATATATATAATGTGTATTATATATATATATATATATATATATATATATATATATATATATATATATATATATATATATATATATATATATATATATATATATAATATATATATATATATATATATATATATATATATATATATATATATATATATATATATATATATAATATTATATATATATATATAATGTGTAAAACCAGAGAAAGTCAGCATGTGATATTGTGATACAATTTGTTTCCACACAATTGGCTTAGAACACCCACAAATGAATGTGGAATGTGAATGATTTTATCTAGAACCAAAGTTTTTTTGTGACTATATAGACAGTAAAATCAATTAATTAAGATCTTCAATGCAACCACCTGCTAACCAAAAAGAAATAAAATAAATAAATGAATAAATAAAAACTTTAGAGATCAAGTGCCACTTAGCGTGAAGTTATATACTTCCAGGCACAGGTAGATTGGGCAGAGTTGTTCCAGTATGCTCATTAGGTAATTTGGGGCCACCTGTAGGAGATTTGCAAACTCTATGTGGTGATGGCAGTGGGGTGTTAGGAGAGAGAGTTGTCACTGGTTGAAAGTAAGGGCTGATCTGTTAGTCTGTTGTGATAGAAGTAGCAGAAGTTGTTCCAAGTGTTACCTACCTCCCCACAAGTCTCTGTAAGTGAATCCCAGAATAAACAAACAAATATATTGGAAACAGGATTTGCATTTTCCTTTCTCACTGTGGTATTTATTGTGTTTTTCATTTTCCTTGTGAACATACATTTAGTCTTTCTCATTTTCTGTGCATACTGATGCCAATGAATACAATGTGGAGTGATTTTTCCAGTCAATGAAAGACTGAAAGGGAATCTTGAGGTATGTTTACAATAGCTGACCATAATAGAACACTTAGTAAAACTAAATGAAACTGCAGAAAGAAGAATGCCAACTAGATATCACCTACAGACAGGATTAGAAATAGATAAGATAACCTCACCTGAAGATGGTTGGAAAATGAACTGACCAAAATTTGAAACAAATAGTATTTTTTTAAAATATTGAATGTCATTAGTTGAAGTCTCTTTGGGCTGAACTCATTGTCTTTCTTGCTACTCATTTTTTACAATGTTATACATTTTTCTCTTATATAGCATGCAGATAGAAAAGCTGTCATGTACAAAATTTTAAAAAGAAAAGAAAATATATGTATAATATGGATTCCTGAAAAATATGGTGGGGTTATACCTTAAAAGAAAGAAAAAGGTTTCCATTACATAAGAGTTTTAAAACAGGGTTACATTCTAATAGTTGAAATTGAGATTAAACAAATGTCTAAGTTGAAATAAAATGACTGCTAATTTGCTAAATTCCAATTAGTTCAGTATTTCTGGTAGATTTTTTTAAAAGAAAGGACATACGAAAAGTGATTGGGACATTTTGGAATTTCTGTTTAAAAAAAGGACCCAATTGCTGAGTGTGGATTTATAATAATAATAATAATAATAGCAATGAATAACAGTAAAACAGTCATTGGTTGTTGATTTTATAGATTTCAATTTAAGTATCAATAGTTTTATATTTTGCTAATTTTTCCTTTTTTCAGTATATGAGGTGGTGCTTAAAAGTTATCCACTTATCCCACTTCCCTAAATCAGCATTTCATTGAATATTGATTTAGGAAGAAGTGGATTGGGCCAAGAACCTTCTTTTAAAATAATGCCCTGAAATAAATCTAGACTTCAATTTGACAGAATATTTCAAGTTTTTAATGAAAAACCATAGTTAATCACAAGATCTTAGTCTATTCTGTTTGTTGTGTTTTTGTTTTTTTAATAATACCTATATATTGAGTAGACAATAATGATTGATTGAAAATATTTTCTTTCTTTGGCTTTTACCAATAAATGGACATAGCATAACATAAAAATCAATAAGTAAAAGGTTTATGCCTTCAATTATAAAGAATTTTCAGATGTTAGTTTTTACTTGTCATTCAACATTTGTATAATCCCTGCTATTTTTTATTGATGTAGTGAGTAGATTCTGGAAACTTTACAGTTTTGTCTTTCAGGAATAAAAGTTCTTTAATTAAAAAAAAATTATTTTATAGACAATGGAAGAAATGTGGGAGAAAAGGAATAAAGATTCAATTGATTAATTGCAGAAGCAATTTGTAGAATGTCTACATAGAAAAAAGAAATTGAATTAATCAGGCAGAAAGACCAAACCTGTGAAAAGTGACATTTTTTTTTTTTTTTTTTTACTGAAGTTTTTTCTTCTTTTTATTTATTTATATTTTTTTTAATTTATCACATCTTAAAAAAAATTATATAATGTTGATATAGTTTCCTGATTATGCCATTGTGTTTGTTTTATTTCCCCAGTTTGAACAAGAATCTATGACAATGAAAGACGATCTGTCTTCTGTTGAAGAAGAGCTTGAAGCCAGTCGTGTAGTGGTGTCTTTTCTTCAAAAGGAAATTGATCAGCTCCAGCGTCAGTTAAATACAAGGTAAATGACTGAATTCTTTGCCAATATACTTTATTTCCAAGATAGCTAGATTTGATTTAATCAGAAAGCTGTTTTTTAATATCCCAGTGAAAAAATATGATTTTTAAAAAAGTGTCTTGATAAGAGATTTATAGTGCTTTGTTCTTAAGGATGGACAGTTGAATCAAGCTCCTTCTACCATTGGAAATAAGCTTCTTTTTTTAGCTGTTAATTATATAATGATGTCTGATCCCTGTTAAAAAAAAAACCTGAATATCTATGTCACTCACATCATTTCATAACTAAAAGTGTTGTTGATAGCTAACAAGTGTTTAAAGGCATAGTAGATATTAAGAGATAGTAATTTTTATTGTTTGATTTGTTTAAAAAAATATTCAATATAATTGTATAACAGGACAGTTTTGTTTCTCTTAAGCATCTTTTTTGTGCTTTTTCTTGTTAAAATTAGGAAATTAAAAGAATAAAAGATTAACTATTTGATCATTTCAAAGTGCAACTTTTGTTCATAAACTTTTTTCCTTGTTTTGTTTTAGCTCTTCTTTCTTTCATGGAACATTTCTTTTAAGCACCACCTTCCATCCACATCAACCTTTTGAATTGTATTATAATATAAGTTTGTTCATATTATGAAATGAAACTTTACAATTGAGAATGACCATTAATTTAATTGTCAAGAGATAAGAATGAAACCAACAAAAAGAAAATTATTTAAAAGATGTTTGAGTTTAGTAAGCTCTATGTATCTGTTGGAAATGATTCAATACCAATTTGTAATTTTCACTGGGTAATGAATAATATCAAAATAAATGGTTTTCACCTTTTTTCTTTCTTTTCCCTTTGTCTCTTGGACTTTTTTGTTCTATTTTGTCTGGTGCATACATATTGGCTTTTTATCTGTTAGATAAAAAAGCAAGAAATATGTAAAAATATATGAAAATAGTGTTTAAAATCTTGAAAGAAAAGTTACCAATAAAAAAATTCTTGATATAGTTGCTATTTGAAGATTACTTAAGTGCTACAAATATGAAAGAATTTCCAAAGTTTTGAATTTTTTTATAGTTTATACAGATGAATATAAGATTAAAACTGGGCTTCTTTTGACTCCTTCTGCTATTTTAAAAATTGCATTCAGCTAAATGTCTTTTGCAGCTTAGAAGTCATTCTTGTCTTCAACAAGTCTGTGATATGAGATTCATTCTTATTGGTCAAGAGGTATTGAATTTTCCTCAAATTGTGTGCATTGTCACCATTGGCATTTAAGTCTGATTGAAGCAAGACTTCCTGAGGGAATGACTGAGTTATACTGCAAAAGTCATACATTTCTAATTGTTGAGTAAAACAAAATTGTTAACCTTTTCATTAGGTCTTAAAATAAGTGCATGCTATGTCAATGTATTTTGATCCAACAGATAGAATAAATAAATAAAATGTATGATCACTTGTCAGGTATTTATGTCTTTTGTATAATTTTCTAATATTTAGCTATAACAGTTGGATATTTTTAATGCTTCAAGATCAAAATGTTGAATCACTAAGTTACTATTGAGCAACAGTTAAAACTCAGTTTAATTTTAATAGTGACAAAATTATTTTATTTTCTCACTTAAAAGAAAATTATTAAAATACAAAGAATAAGAATAAGCTGAAACACTTTAAAACAGGTTTTAGTAAATTTCTAATCATATTTGTTTTGATATACATACATAAATAGAAAAATTAAATAAAAACTTTAGCAATTTTTGGCAATAAATAAGTGGCAGTTAAAATCTTTATATGAAATAACAATTATCAATTTGTCTACCTTCACTTTTGTAGAAATAATCTTGCACATATGTAGACAGAAGAAAAAATCAATATAATTCTGATCCATTTTTAGTATATTTATGGATCTGTTACTTTAACACAGCAACAATATCACATTGTAGCATGATTTCTGTTAGTGCATTTTAACAATATTGTGCTAGCTTAAAGAAAAAAGCAATTTTAAAAGTTTAACTCAGCCACTGATTTTTGAGTAATTTTTAATTCACTATAATTCAACACTATAAAAGAAGTCTTTCATTATAACTCCAAATACATTAACTACTAATTATTTTTTTTCCCTTTTTCTTAAGAAAATAATAGGAATACACTTGATTGGTGAGAACTATTCTCTATCAACAATATTAGTGATAATACTTTAATAACAACAATTAAGCTTAATGATAATTAACATTTACAAATAATTATAATAAAATTCTATAAATAGAAAGTAACTTGACATTGAGTGATAGCCACCAAATAATAAGCAAGTTTGTATAATGTACTATTTATTAAAATTTATATGTATCCATTTATAAAACTGCATTAACTCTAACACTGAGGAATCAAATTTGAACTCTTCTGCTCAATGAAACTGAATATCTTACATTCTAGAAATATAGTTGTCTAATAATCCTTCTGATGTTCAGCCAGAAAAGCATTTTGGTCTGCTCAGTTAGAGATTGGGTGCATAATTCCTTTTTGGCTGACTGTTAGAATTATGTTCTCTTAATTGATTTAGGAATATCAAAACTCATTGCAATTTTGGCAAATCACTTTGGTCTGTTTTTTTTCTTTTTGTAGAAAATTTAAAAAAAAAAAAATTCTCATGGATACAGTTTCACATATTGCATTTTTACTTGTGAATTTAATACTGAATTGTTTGTCACAAAATCAATATAAATATTTATAAAATTATAGTAATTTTTTATGTTATAGAAATATATTGACTAAAGTAGGTGTACAAAAGTATAAATAGTTTGTTCGTTGCTGGGATTCCATGAAATTTAAACAACCATAACTTGTTAAAGAATCAATCCTTTTACTCAAAGCCATGCAGCAACTTTTCTTTATTGTATGCAGTTTTTTATTCAATAATTCCAACCAGCATTTTAGGAACATAAATTAAGCTTTCCTATCCCAGTTTGAAAGCAATTTATACATACATACATACATACATACATACATAGGTGTATAGATATTGATTGACCACTGACTTGAAGAGGTTAAGATTGTGGTGTTTAGGGAAGCATTCACAAAGTAGCAGTACTTAGGGAAAAAATCTGCCTGAGTGAAACTTTCTCTTTACAATTGGAATAGAGAGAAAATGTGGGTGATTCTACTTTTAGCAGTAAAGGTCTGAATACTGGAAGCTCATCTGAATATTTGCCATGAAATTAATGATAGAGTAAAAATAGACTTGCAATATGATGCAGAGTGGAGAATAAGTCTTCCCCCACATAAAACCATGTATACAATTTTGAACTCTGCCAAGGCTTGAAAGTGAAGATTGAGCAGTGGCAGTCCAGATCTGATGGCATTACCCAATTGTAAGAATAAAGCATAACAGAAAAAGTTACATACTTCCCGGATCAATAGAATGAGCTGACCATTTTTCTAGAATCTTTAGCTATTTCCTTAAAAGGAAGCATTCAGCATTCAATGACCAATCAAACAGTGCAGATGTTGGTTGAAATTTATAAAATCTTTCTCTTAGAATAAATTTTTGAGGAAAATAGGTTTCTCAGTTCATCACTCTTTCCAGTATGGATGGGGGCTTCCTCCCTAACCTTTTAATTGAAGTAGTGTAGAATGTCAACATTTTGATTGTCATTATTTTCTTTTCAAGTTATATCCATTTTAGTTGTTGTTTTTGAATGTCCTGAAGTGATGTTTTTTTCTGTTATCTGGTACAGTATTTTGTTTGTGATTCTGTAGCACCAGTCCACAAGGTTTGAAGAAGGATAGTCCTCCCTGAAACATACAAGTTTCATTTACTTAAAGCCATTTTTAACCATAAGATATTTCTGAATGGGTTTAGCACAATACATGAAATCAAAATGAAATTTTCAATCTGACAAGACTGAGAATATGACTCAAGTTCTTAGGTTAATGTTTGGTTTTTCTAGCAATTTGTGGTGTTGAGCAAAACTACCACTAGTACAGCCTATTCTATATTCAATTTCCTTATCTCCTATGCTAAATTTGTTATAACTGATCCATACACCAAGGTATTTGAATTGTTTGGTATTTACTAAATCCACATCCTGAATTTTTATGATAAATTCAGGGTAGGTGCAATCACTGCTTTCATTTGAATCCCATATCATAGTTTCTCTATTGGTAAAGTTTGTTATTTAGAGTGAAGTTGACACACAGTAAACATTCAAAGCATAATCTCATTGAGAGTGCAACAATACATTGTGATGGGAGAAAATCAGTCTGTTCTGTAATGATGAAATGATACTAACTTTGTTTTTCAAGTTGTAAATAAAAACAGATGAACATTTAAGCTTGTAGTGAAGCTTTATTCAGTGCAGTTTGACTAGTTGTCCATAAGTGAGGTTTGACCATTTCTTTTATATTCAAGTAGTTTGTGGAAGAGGCAACTATGGTTACCTTCATATTCTTCCCCACTCAATTTTATTCAGTTGAAGGTGAAATAGTCATCTAAATGACTGAACTTTTTGCAAGTCTGTCTGGAATATTGCATCGGTTCCTGGTCAGGGAATTTGGACCCTGCAGAGATGTTGCCCAAAAGTATCTTGTCCTAACTCTTTTGTCTCCTACAGTAGGACATTCAGAATCTAAAAATGAGTCACTGTCGTCAGAAATTAGGTGCTTTCACCTTTGTTGAGATGATCTGGTATAAATATTAGACTCATTCCAATTTTCTGGGCTATGCACCTCAGAAGAATCCACTGGAAGCATATCATCAGTACTATCAGTGTGGAAGTTTATGAGCTCAAAGGAGAGGAGGCCTTCTTGTGGATCCAGTCCCCTTCCAGTATAAGGCCTCATGCAGAAGCTTTTCCTAATGTGTAATAAGGCATTTGTGGTTTGTGAGTATATTTTTTCAGAGCATGAGGCTATTCACTGGGAATAATGTGCAAACATACCCATGGCCTGTTGTGAGGCAGAGATATTATTAGTGATCACTAATTCCTGTAGTGGCTTTAGCCATTCAGGATTTGGAGAGA